TCTGATAAGTTGTTCCTTGGAAAATTTTGGACACTGACTTGTTGCACTTCACACAGTAATGCATGAGGGTAGACTGTCACTTTGTTTGTAGTAACGTTGTTGATGTGCACTGGTACTGGAAAATTCCTTGCAGTATCATAGGTGATGACACTGGGCTCTATATCCAGATCAGCTGGAATACGAGAGTTGACTGTAGGTGACAGCATCCCACACACAGGATGGTAAGGTAACTCATCATGCAGGTATCCCTGGATGACTACACTGCTGTTGGGTTGTATAGTCACAGGTCTCTCCTCAGCTGACTTCACCAGTGCTAGCACGTATGAACGTCTGGATAACTCACGCTCACGCAGGGTCATACATCGAAAGGCAAGGTACCATGGGGTATGTAATTTTGCCTTCTGTAGAAATCTGACACCAAATTTCTGTTTTGTTTCCATCAGAAGTACAGAAAGGATGTTGGTCCCAATAAGAACTGGTACTGACTCATGGTAAGTAGTCTCATTCACTATGAGAAACAAACACTCAATTGTCTCTGGTGCATCAGAAATGCCTTCAACTCGTAGTTCACATGATATTACACCATGATATGGCAATTCTGTCCCATCAGCACACTCAAGAGTAAGTAGGCAATCAACTGGCTGCAGTGGAATATCCTGTAGATGGGTATCATAAAATTTGCGACTTATAGTCGACACAGCAGATCCAGTATCGATGAGCGCCTGTGTCAGCACACCTTGTATCTGCACTTCTATCTCATTTAATGACCCGACAAGTGTTGTATTTTGTCTCGATATTTGTTTCCTAGTCTTTCGTGGAATAAAATCATGTTGACGTCTTGAATGGTCTAGTCTAACATGGCATTTTGTATCCGAGTGTCCATATTGTCCACATCTTATGCATAAAATTTGTGAGTTGATTTCAGTGGGACAAGGTTCCTCCATAAAGCCGCCAATTTGTCCCTCATTAGTGGCTTCTATTGGTTTAAATTGAAATTTCTACCATGGTATCCACCATATCCTCCTCTGTTTTGGTATGTGGATCCTCGGTTTCCTCTATATCCTCCTCTGTTTGGATATGATGATCCTCGACTTCTGTCAGAGTGTTGATAACCTCCACGGTTTCTTGAATAATTGTAATTTCCTGTATTAGTCTGTTCAGTTCTGGGAGGAAAATAATCCTTTGATTTTGATTTCTTGACTTCTCGCTCCATGTCTCCAATTCTTTTGTCCATAGCCTCTAATTTTCTAAGGATCAGGTCCATAGAGGAATCTTTATCTCCAATCTTGGATACTTGTGATTTCTTCTTGTCATTTGATGATGATGATGGTGCTGATAACTTCATGTCAAGCTCGATGGTACGTAATTCCTTTCTCAGTGTTTCAAAGTCATTGATGGTGTCATACTTGTAGCGGCTCGCATTGCGGAGATTGTTATCACTCAACCCAGACCATAATTTTGTTCTCAGCATCTCATTCTTCACATCATTGCTGATGGCTTTCCTCTCAATGCATCGCTGTAAGATGCTCTCCAATCTCATGCCAAAGTCCACTACAGTTTCTCCTTCCTCCTGTTTAGAAGCATAGAATTGCTGAATCAGCTTCTCACTGGGGTAGATGTTCCCATAGACTCCATCCAGTTTGGATAATATCTGCTGAGGAGTTGCATCTGTGGGTAATGTAAGCAGCAGACTCCTAGCTTTACCCTTTAAGGAGGATCTTATTGCTTGAAGGATTATGTGAGTTGCACAAGCACCATCCCTGAGAGCACACTGCACATCATTTTTCCAGACATCAAATGCTGTCTCATTTTTCTCCTCTCCAGAAAATATAGAAAACCGAGGACGAACAGTCGATGAATCAAACACAAATCCTGAGCATGTATCCGAATGTGATGGTTGATTGTGTTCCTGAGGTTCAAATTTGACTGTTGATGGTTTGCGAACTTTTGGCCTAGCTCCACCCTCTGCAGCGGGTGTGCTTTGGTCCAAAGGTGTCCTTAATAGCTGGTACTCATCATTTGTCAAGATCTTATAATCTGTGTGCTCAGACAAGTAATTGATCATACGTTGGATTTGCTGTTGATTAAGTGCACTGTCTTCACCCTTCTTCAAATGAACGCTTTGATCTGATGCCATGATTTTGCTTAAATATCTCTAACCACTAAGTGCTATTGTAACTAAACTCTAATAGTATGTCAACTTGTGTAAAACTATATAGCTAATTTCTTAATTAAGAATCTAACTCAAGAACTGTAAATAATTATAGCATTGTCAGGTTTCTTCTTACAAATAATAATAAATTTAACGCATGATAATCAATGCTGAAAAAAAATCAAGATTAAAGGCTAAAAAAAAAATTAAATTAATAAATGCTGAAATAAATTTAAAATTAAATTCTGAAAAAAAATAATTCAAATTAAATTTGAAAACTCACTAACTTCTTAATCTGTAGCTGAAAATAAATAAATTAATGATAAATACTTTCAACCTTGATCAAATACAAAACTGAAATTGAAATGTTCACAGTTTAGTATTCCTGAAATAAAGTGTTCTAAGAAAGATAACTCGTCAATTGCAATAAACTAAGGGCAGATAATTCTGCATAGCAATCAAAGGTGTGTCTGCTCAAGCGTGACGATCTTCGCGACAGCAGTCGTCTACACTGGAAATTTAAATCTATTAATAGCACTACACAAACTTGAATACTCTGCACAAGGTAATGGTTTCAAAGTGTGCTATATAAAGAAAAAAAAAACAGTCAAAATATTATGCTACTATGTACACTACAATAACTACTACTGTCTAATTCTAACTTATAAAATACACATAATTATATACAAACCAATGAACGCGATTCGCGATTGATCTAGATCTCAGGTAAACACAGGCAAAGGCTTTGAAGAAAAGACACGATTACATGTATAACCGACAGTATAATACTATCTCTATGTCAATTTGTGTATCAACCAAACACTCTCTAAATATATACACTCTACCGACAGACTTTGAATGACAGACTGACCAGAATAAATACACCTAACCAACACAAATATACGTTGACTGTGCTTTTGATCAGGTAATATACTAATACTCAACACTGATACCCAACGCTCAACTGTTGTACGTGGTTCTATAGGCACACGTTACCGTTATACACTATACATGTACTACTATCGTCGAAATGTCAACATTGTCAAACAGAAAGAAGAGAGTAAGAAATGAAAGGAGGGTGTTAGTACAAGCATGCAAAATTTACTCGCGGTTCCTAACTTTAAACTGAACGAAAAAAATGAGTTCAACTGAAACTTTTCAAACTGAAGAAAATCAAATGAAATAAACTGATAATTCACATTGTAAAAAAATTATGCAGCTGCAGTTTAACCAACAAAAATTATACAGGTGTACTTAACAGAGGTGAAAAAAATAAAACAAGTGCAAAAAGGGTAACTTTACAACCTTACCGTACGTACGTACTCTCTCTCTGTATTTCTACTGGCCAGGCAAAATATACATGTATACACAAATCACTACACTAAAGTTTTATAATACCGGTAAATCCATGAACATCTTAGACGTCGTAGTATGTCATAATCCCGCTGTCGCAGTCTACTTCCGACATTGTCACAGTCCAGCAGTACCACGAACAATAGTCACTGAGTTAATCACCACAGTACACACACGGGAAACTTCACAAAAGGAATGGAATGCAGGGTCCCTACATGGGCGCCATTTCTGTAACAGGGTTTTCTTATGGTGTTAAAGAAGAACTCCTGCGTCTAAGGTTCGATCATTTTATTTTGTCATGTTGAATAAATAAATACATCAATAAAGCCCTGAAAATATCAATAACAAATTATAAGTATTTAGAAAACAAACAACCATATTACATTTATAATGATATTCATGAATTTAGGCATGAATTACTTTATAATAATCGATCATAAAAGTATTACACATTATACTGAGCATTGAAATAAATACATGGAAAAGTAAGAGTTATTTCCCTTACATCGACGTCTTGAAAACGAGAATATAAATCGAACTATTCCAAATAGAACTATTACAAATAAAATGAATAGTTCACAAATCTATTTGCAATGATATATACACAATAAATAGAAAATAATTGTAGGTATACCTGATTGTGGATCAAGGCTCAAACAATGGCCACCCGATAAAAATAACGGGTCTTGATATATAGACTCCTATTAAACAATAATTATATTCTATATACACTTCTGCATAATTGATATTTTATTTACATACTCAAAGAATTTATACTTTAAGCTTCATTTAATAATGATAAAGTTGAACTCAGTATATCTTCACAAAATTACATTAAAAATCAAAGACGATGAATTATCGGAAAGTATAGAATAAGAATTAGTAAAGATAAAAGAAATAGAAGTCAACTTACAGTCTCTGTCCTGAGGTCTCGTCTCAAAATTAATATTGTATATAATGATGACCAAAAATACTCATCTCACTTTCTCAATGGTCTATAGATGTCTGACCGATACACAAAGAGATCGGCGGGAAAAACGTCCCTAACCAATCGCAAGCTTGGTTATAAAAACTGACCAATAACATTATATACCCTCAGGATAAGTAAGAACTTCTAGAACATAAGTAAAGATTAAAACCAAATGAAGTTGTAATATTTTATTAATTTTATTAACGGTGAGCGCAAAACTCCGTGAAAACGAAATGCTGCGCGATGCTAAAAATAAAATATATACATGTGAATATTAAGTCACTGAACTATATAATATAATATTCACTTAATAAAATAAATTAAAATATCATTCTATCACAAGTTGACACAGGACCCCTGACGCTGTGAGGATAGGATAACAAAAACTTCCGAGGCTCTCAATGCAATGAAAAATACTATCCGGAAATATCATGCCCATCAATATTTACCTCTTTGGTTTTTATGTACGTGATTCATATTCGCATAAACGCTTTTTCATTTGAAAGTTATCATTTATAAACAAAGATAATTTTTAACATGGAGTATTATTGATGTGGAAAAATGGCAGCCACCCTGTCATTTCGTTGGCTAGATATATTGGAAAAGGAATTTGACAAAGCTTTCGTAGATTTAGATTTACTCTTAGGGGAGATCGATCCAGACCAATGCGAGCTCACATATGATGGGAGACAGAAGATGACTGCGCTCAGTGCTGCGTTTGCACAATTATGCCACAAATCCCAGACAGTGTTCCAGTCCAACGCTAAAATAGAGGTGTTTTGAACATTATATACTGATTTGCGCTATAACTGATTTGTCATCACACATCTTTATAATTTTTGATAAATTTAATTTTAATGTTTTATCTACATTTAACGGTGTGACATTAACGGTGTGACAGTAGGGACGTTGTAATTAGTAAAGCGGATATCCATTCATCCTCGCAAGCCAGAGGTCCTGAGTCAACACGTTGCCGTTGGACCCCTGGCATATTTCATTCAATATTTGTGGGCTGACTGTAGCGACGTCTTTCGGAAAAATTAGAAATCTTGTTTTTTTTAACTCTCAACCAATCACATTAAGCCATTCTATGATAAACAACTTGTAACATGTGCATTTGAGGTGTCAACTGAATCCCTATCTAACTATTTATGAAAGCTTGAATTTGATTAGTGCTTCTCGATGAGAAGCAAGCCAACGAATATTGAATGAAATATGCCAGGGGTCCAACGGCAACGTGTTGACTCAGGACCTCTAGCTTGCGAGGATAATATCCATTAAAACCTTAGTTTACATTTAAAAATCAGATCTATCTCTTCATAGCATACTTTAGACTGGAAAGTTTAAGATTGGGTGGATTCTACCATTTCATATTTGCATTGCAAAGACATTTTTATCTTTTTTTATTTTTTAAAGACGTGCTTATGAGGATACTGATATAAGAAATAAGTATGATTTAGTAGCTAAATAAAGCGACTTCAAGCAACTAAATGAAGCTATATACATGTAGTTAATTCAAGCTACGTAGCTAAATAATATGTTGATGTTGTTTTCAGTTAGATTCACCTCTTCAAACCACACATGACATTTGGAACGTCGACTCTGACGTCACATGATGTTGTATATTAGTTGCATTATTTAATAAAGTCTGAAAAATGCAAATTTTAATAAAGAATCTTTAATTCACTATTTTTCTGCAATATCTGTTAAATCAAGGTGAGTTTATTTTTGGTGAACTTTTGTTGTTACCACAAGAACATACAAAAAGTCTGCAGCGAGATGCAATTCTCAAAGATTTGTGGGTTGCTAATGATTGGTCTGGACCTGCTGGACCTGCTGTAGACTACATTTGTGAAGCAAATTTTAGTGTGAAACCTTCCCAGAATCCTTTTGCTATGACAATTCCTTGCAATAATGCCAAATAGCAGTGCCACAGTTACTGTAAAGATACATGTATAGTTCTCACAGAGAGCATAAAGGAACCCCCCCCCCCCCCCCCCCCCAAAAAAAAAATGCGAATACTGTACAATGTTTCTGTCAAATAAATGCATTATTTAGAATCTGATATAGAAATGCAACTTACAAACAATGTCATGTGCATTGTTGTTAGAGCTCAAAGTGTGAGGGGTGCTTTGCGCCATTTGCTGCGCTCATTATAATTGTACTGGACCTGCTGTAGACTACATTTGTGAAGCAAATTTTAGTGTGAAACCTTCCCAGAATCCTTTAGCTACCACAATTCCATGCAATAATGCTGAATAGCAGTGCCACAGTTACTGTAAAGATAAAGTCCTTACTAAGAGCATGAAGGAAACAAAATATAACTGCATCTTTTGTTAAATAAATGCATTATTTAGAAAATTAATGCAGCTTACAATGTCATGTGACGACACCGTCTAGACTGGGTCTCTTGCTCTTTGAGAAGGCAAATCAAAGTTGAACGTGTAAGCTATGTAATGGGTTTTTGATGGTAACAGGTATCCAGTAATAAATTGTGCTCACCCCAATTGTCTCACCAAAAACATATTGGTCCTATTTGCCATTATTTACAGGAAGCAAATTATGAGAGGATGTATTGAAAAGAATAAATATGTGTATGTTCAGCCATATTTGTTTTCTTTTAAGTGACATCATAATTGTTTTTTTGTACTCTGCTTTAGGGATTTGTAATAATTTGGGAAACCCAGTAAGCTGTGTTCTTGATCTATCTCAATGTTTAATTTTCCTCTTCCGAATACATACTGCATTAATATAGCTCTTAGAGTAGGATTGGATTTAGGAATGAATGAAAGTTTACATGTCAGGTAAAATATATAAAGCATTATGAAATTGGAAATGTTATAAATGATAAAAATTCAAATGAAAAATAGACTTATAATAAAATACATACATATATATATATAGTTAAAGTATTCTTTATAAAGGATTGAACTAATTGTCCTTGTACATTACAGGCACAGTTAGTGGACATGAGAGCAGACTTGGTAGAAATGAGATCAGCTAAAGAACATGTAGAGAGAGAACTCCACAATGTTCTGCTTCAACTACATTCCACCCAGCTTCAGATTCAGTCCCAGAAAGGAATTGAAGTAGATTCCACTACAATCCAGAAAAAAGTGGTGAGCTTTCTCTGTAAATTAGATTGGTCAAATCATTATGATCAAGGTAACACAGCCAGAAAGTTTTAAGATGGTAATTTTAATTAGTCTCAGATTGTCAAATAATCCTTTATTGTCATGTCTTGAATATATTTTCAAGGTTGTAAACAAAGTACATTGGAATTTAAAAAAAATTGAATTAAAATGATGTTGACGTGTTTGTAAATGGAAACTGTTTAAACACAAGGTTAACTACATGTACATGTATTTTGTTTGTATCTGTTAGACACAAATCAAATCTGTTGCATTTATAGGAAGAAGAAATGAAGGTTAAAACTGCAGGAGCCTCGACAATGGAGCGAGTGGAGGCGGAGGTGAAAGAGCTACGTAGTGAGAATGAGGAGCTGAGGCAGTATATCCTAGCTCTACAGGGAGAGGTGTATGGGGCAAGGCTAGCTGCCAAATACCTAGACAAAGAGTTAGCAGGAAGGTCAGTGTCTAGTAGACAAATACCTAGTCAAAGAGTTAGCAGGAAGGTCATTGTCTAGTAGACAAATACCTAGTCAAAGAGTTAGCAGGAAAGTCAGTATGTAGGACAAATACTTTGACAAAGAGTTAGCAGGAAAGTCAGTGTCTAGTAGACAAATACCTAGTCAAAGAGTTAGTAGGAAAGTCAGTGTCTAGAAGACAAATACCTAGTGAAAGAGTTAGTAGGAAAGTCAGTGTCTGGCAGATAAATACCTAGACAAAGAATTAGGAGGGAGGTCAGTATACCTACACAAAGAGTTAGCAGCAAGGTCATTGTCTAGTAGACAAATACTTAGACAAAGAGTTAACAGGAAGGGGAGTGGTGAGGCACTCTAATTACTGATGAAGATCAGTTGATAAAAACATTGATTTTCATGTTCATAAATCAATTTACTGGTTTATACAATCAGGGATAGACATTAACTTTTAGATTCACTTGCTTTCGGGCAAGTGATCTCAGACTTTGACTTGTTTGAATGCAAAACTTGGTTGCCCAAAATTAGGGAAGAAAAATATTATTTATTACTTTAAACTGAGAAGAAAAAATGTGACCAAATACACTACTGTCAACTTGGCAAGTTGAGCTACATAAAAAAGTAATTGCGATGCTTTGTTTGCACATGTGTATCACTGTCCTTGTCAATTTAATATGTTAACACACTGTCATGCAGCATTATCCCTCCGTTTCCTTTTAATACACTTCATATTTTTAAAAATTAATTTCTGTAGAATCTTTTTGTGAATTGTGATTTTCAGAGATAACAAGCAACAGTAAAGGAAGACAATTGCTATGAAACATACATATCTGGATTGGGATACATTGTGTTACTTATATTCTGTGAATGAATTTCCTAATTAGAAGTTAACAAATTTGTTATACGTAGAGCGTATTTACCACAAAAGAAAACAGAATAATGAACCCGATTTTTAAATGGTCCGTATATTCTAGAAACGCTACCAAGGATTTCCTAATGTAAATCAATGTCAGTCAGATATCTGGCAGAAATCAAGTATTCAATTTATTGTTTTATTTATAAATTAAACTAAACTGACTAAATATGTACATTTCTATGAGAAAAATTCACTTGCCCGATCGGACAGTTTCACTTGCCGGAAATGAGGATTTACTTGTCCCGGGCAATCAGACAACCGTTAATGTCGATCCCTGACAATATATGGTTTATAGCATATAAAAAGAAATTCTGTATATAGAATCTTTAATATTCTTTATACATGTTGCAGAATACAACAGATCCAGTTGTTGGGTCGTGACATGCGAGGGGCTGAGCATGACAAACTCTGGAATCAGTTAGAAGCAGAAATCCATCTCCATCGACACAAAACCGTTATACGTGCATGTCGGGGGCGGACTAACCGAAAGAAAAAACTGCAGATGCCAGAAGGGCATGTGAGTATGCTAGTACATGTACCTTAATAATTTGCAAAAACTGATTTTGAGTTATTTATATGGTAAAAAATTTTCACATCCTTCAAAAACAGAAAGTTTATCTTTCTGTTTTTGAAGGTTGTGAAAATTTTATGAAATGCATTTAATATATTGAGTTCATGTGAAAAGCAAACTGACAGATTCCTACAGACAAAAAATACTGTACATGCAATAACATTTTAAGACCAGTATATAATTTACAATTTAAAATCAAACTCTTATTTTATGAATAAGCTCTGTAAATTGCAGTTACTAAAAATTAAAACATTTCAATTAATTTAAAATGCTGATCCTCTTTCAGTCCTTTTTGATTTTTTTTTTTATACGTTTGTATACATTGATTGAAGAAGAATAATTATGCTGATGTGAAATGTCTTTTGAGCCAGGACTTCCAGTCTCTCCGTAAACAACATGGTCTGGGTGAGAAAAGAAAAGTGATCATCAGGAAAGGAGAAGAGGAGGGTCTAGGCCTGTCAATCACAGTATGTATAAACTGTCAGTCTAAATGTGTACATAAAAGGAGGGTCTAGGCCTGTCAATCACAGTATGTATAAACTGTCAGTCTAAATATGTACATAAAAGGAGGGTCTAGGCCTGTCAATCACAGTATGTATAAACTGTCAGTCTAAATATGTACATAAAAGGAGGGTCTAGGCTTGTCAATCACAGTATGTATAAACTGTCAGTCTGAATATGTACATAAAAGGAGAGTCTAGGCCTTTCAACTGTCAGTAAAAGTATGTACATAAAAGAAGGGTTAAAGGGTTTTTATCACATCCCAAAATTTTTTGATATGACAAAGTTTATATGCTATTAAAATCATATATTTAAAAATCTTTGCTAGAAAATTAATATTTTTGATGTTTCAGCGATTCAAAGTTTGAATTTCTCAATATGCATATTTTGATCGCCGATGTTATGCGCCATTGCTCTGACGTCATAGGTGTCAATCCTGGTCAAGCGAAGTACTTATTGTGTATACAAAAGGGCTCATTTGTTGTGTCTATTTAACCTGATAGAAAATAATTAAGTGATAATTGAATAATTGACAGCTTGTAAAGATATGATTTATGGCTTAATGGTGCACAAATGTGCACAAGAAAGGTTTTAGGGAGAATCTTTTCCCCACATTTCCTGGACTTGGTCGAGAGATGAAAGGGGGGCCTTTCTCTGCAAATGTGATGGCGTTTATCTCCATTCAGAACAATCGTTTATGCCCAATCGATCACGATTTTTTTTTCTGTCCTATAAAATATTTTAAGGAAAGATACTTTTAAAAAATTAATAAATGACAAATACCCATTTTTCAAAAGTCGCACAGAATCTAGTAGGAATGTTGTGAACTTCGTAATGGCGTATGGCACCATTGAAGAAGTGTCATTTCTAGTACATGAACAGATAGAAGATATACAGGATTTATTTTATTTATAATTAATTAAAATAATAATGAAGGAGAATTTAAAATTCCCATATTTACAAATGTTTACCAAGTTAAACTTTAGTTATTTGTTCTATTTAGTTGAAGTCCCGAGTTGTCAACGGCTTCGTCTTTGGTGACCTCTCTCCAATTGTCGGCATATTTTCTGGTTATTTCTCTTTGCTAGACGTTCATACCTAAAAGATTGACTGTCCATAACCAAAGGAATATAGTCGATATCAAATTTTCAACTGGCCATACTGTGTATTCTATTTATTTAGCATAAAAATCTATTCAATATATTTTTTCTTACGATAAACTTTACGAGTTCTATTGACAATTGACACCTATGACGTTTCAGTACCACGTGACCCCTATCTAATTAGTGGAGATTTTTACTTGGAGGACCCTATATTACGGGTGTTTTATCGTCTAAATATGGCCGTTTTCAACATTATTTCATAATTAAACGATAATTATATGTTTCAAGAATATAATAGTGTTTCATTTTTAAGAAATTTAGATACGTGATAAAAACCCTTTAAGGTCTGTCAATCAGAGTATATGTCAATCACTTAGTTAATGCCACCTAAAGAAAGTAGAGACTCTAGAGTAGGGAATTTGATCTTGAATACTCCATATACATGAAATTGCATGTAAATACCAGAAATCTTTATGATTATGGAGAGGATAATTTCTTTTGCTAAATTTTATTCATTTTTTATGATATAAGCTGTCATTTAAATTAATGGTTATTGTTCTTGACAGGGAGGGAAAGAACATGGTGTTCCAATTCTGATCTCAGAAATCCATGAGGGTCAGCCAGCAGATAAATGTGATGCACTATATGTAGGAGATGCTATCCTATCTGTCAATGGTATAGACCTGCGGGAATCCAAGCATGCCGAGGCCGTCCACGTATTGTCACAACAGGTCAGAAATCACTCAAGTCACCACAGGTCAGAAATCATACTCAAGTCACCACAGGTCAGAAATCACTCAAGTCAGCACAGGTCAAATACATGTATCATACTCAAGTCATCACAGGTCAAGTATTATAATCAAGTTACCACAGGTCAAAAATCATATACTCAAGTCACCATAAGTCAAAAGTTATACTCAAGTCACAAGAGTCAGAAATCATACTCAGGTCACAACAGATCAGAAGTAATACTCAAGTCACAACAGGTCAGAAATCATACTCATGTCATAACAGATCAAAAATCATACTGAAGTCAAATCATACTCAAGACAACAGATCAGTAATAATACTCAAGTCAAAATAGGTCAGAAATCATACTCAAGTAACAACTGGTAAAAATCATACTCAAGCCAGCACAGGTCAACATTCATGCTCAAGTCAGCACAGGTCAAAAATCGTACTCAAGTCACAACAGGTCAGAAATCATACACAAGTCATAACAGGTCAGAAATTACTCAAGTCAGCACAGGTCAAAATTCATACTCAAGTCACAACAGATCAGAAGTAATACACAAGTCATAATAGGTCAGAAATCACTCAAGTCAGCACAGGTCAAAAATCCTGCTAAAGTCACAACAGATCAGAAGTAATACTCAAGTCACAACAGGTCAGAAATCACTCAAGTCAGCACAGGTTAAAAATCGTACTCAAGTCACAACAGATCAGAAGTAATACTCAAGCCAAGTTTTAGGTCACTGAGGTCATGCATTTGATTCTGTGCAAGCCTTTTTATTGTTAAACTGTCCTAAGAATTTTAATCATGTTTGGATAATTATCAAATGAAAAGGAGGGGAAGATTTTTTTCTTTTAGGAGGAAGGATGGTCATATATTCTTCATTTTCTACTGCCTCCCACCACCCCAGTTGAGATTCATTGTGGAATCTAGTTTTGGTATATATGTAAATCATAATAGGCCAGAAATGAACCACAGCCCTCTTCATGATAGAGTTGATTGTGAAATGTGTGTCAGGTGCAGCAGCTACTGAAGGCATCTAAGGAAGCTTCTGTAGATGTACCATTTGTACAGTTTGGTTTAAATACCATATGCTAAACTAGAAAAAAAAAACCTTATCAGTCATTGAAGTGTAAATGTGTATCTCAGATGCAGAAAATGGTGCATACATCTAACACAGCATCCATAGATACATTATTAATTTGAACATCTTTTATGATAAAATAGGCAGTGTAATTAATCAGTCACTGTAATGTAAATATAAGAACAGATGCAGAATTAGATATTCAAAAATACATCATATGTGCGCGTTCAGTAGTTTGGATTACTGTATACAGGAAAATTTTCGCCCCCTTTTTATTTTCGCCCCCTTTCACCCTATTCACATTTTGGCAATTTAAAATGGGGCGAATTCAAAGAACACAATATAATTTTTTAAACAGAATCGTAACTGGGTGAATTTAAAAAACAGGGCAAAATTGTTTGCAAGTGTGAAAGGGCTAAAAAAAAAAACCCTGTAACCATTAGTTTGGAACAGATTTTGATGTTTTTCTTTCTTATCTTAGAATCTACAAATTGTAATATACTTCCAGTGGAAATACACTGAAAGGGACACACTTATTAAATTCATGGTTTTAATATAGATTCCCACAAATAAAGAACCAAAAAGCAAAAATACTGATATAATTCTGGAAAATTAGTGTATGGATTGATGATGTCTGTATCCAAATTTTGTTTCGCTGTTGCATTTTGCTCTGTTCTGGGTAATTTTTGGCAATTCTAATTTAAACATAAAAAAGACAACAGTTGCAGTAATCCTAAGTTTGAAGTGCTTGTCATATTAACATTATTTATATTTTAACAGTTGGGTTTCAGAGAGTGAAGGTGATGTTTGTTTGCATTTTTCAGCAGTTGTGATATTTGTATATTTTATTAGCTGGGAGACATAGAGCTGGAGGTGATGTTTGTGGCACCTGATGAAGACAGTGATGATGAACAGAGCCAGGTGGGGGAAGATGAGAATGGGTTCAGGTAGGTTATCCCATTGGATACATTGCACATATATGTAGGGCAAAAATACCCATATCTTTTTTCTTCAGATTTTTACCAGTGAAAAAAAAGCCTCGTAAAGCCAAAAAAAAATTAATCAATAGTTTATCAGGCACTGCCGCATCAAGTCAAACACTGCCGCATTGATCAATTTTATTGACATATTGAGAAGGGAAATAACTCAATTTTCTATTTTTCCAAGTTGAAAAGAAAATTGAGTTATTCCCCTTTTCATAAATGCTGATAGATAGGCGTTTTTTTTTAGATAAAAAATACATTTCTTGTTAATACAGTATTTTATGAATTAATTTTGTTTGGAATAACATTATTTAAAGTTGAATGCATATTATAATTAATGAGAGAACCAAAAAAGGTAAGAATCAGTTGATATCATCATTTTGTTGAACGACTGACATGAAAAAAAAGGTTACACCTGCTTCAAAAAAAGAAAAAAAAGAACCTGCCTGCTGCATTGAATTTTGAAATTTTTGGCCTGAGAAACAATTTTTTATGGGCTAATCAAAAGTGCATTCAAATAAGAATTGTTTTTATTACTGAGTTGAGGCTGTGTGTGTGTTTGGTTTTACAGATACAGAATATATGATGAAGATGTTCTGAGCAGTAGTAGTGAGGCAGAAATACGCAGACATGTAGGTCAAAGGTCAGCTCTGCCCCCAAATGTCAACGGAACAATGTCAACGTCTGCTTCAGTTCCACATAGTCCTTCAAGGTGAGAGGAAGATTTTTAAAAGTGATGAATTTTACAGTATTTACCAGTTTCTTGTATTTTATAATTATGTCATATGTGTATCCTTTCCACATTATGACAGGACATTCATTAAAATAACAATGCAAAAAAGCAAAAAAAATATGGCAGACAATGTATCAGTCTTTTGAAGCCATTATTGTCATATCAAGAAAGGAAAAAATTACAAAACACTAAATTTGACATATTTTACTTGAGTTATAAGCATGCTGATTCCTGATTTTGACAGATTTGAACAATCTAAAGAGACTCAAGCTGCTAGTCCTGTAAAAGCTGAGGGTAGAGTAGCTGGTTCTCAGAGTGTTGATGTGGGGGTCATACAAGCTAATGGTTTACAACAGACAAACTCTATAGATCAGAATGCTATGTTCAACAGTGATTACACCTAGTCTATAGTCATATTGCCTGAGTAGGGGAGTGATGTGTAATATTGTTTTATGTGTATCATTCATTTTAAATGCTTTTTCTCGAAATGATTTTTTAAAATACCTGTTGAAAATTGACTGGCATAACTCAATAATTATTTCATTTTTCATATGTAATTTATGAAGAATTCATATCTTGAGAAATAACAAAAAAATAAAATACTTGTTTACCGGTACATCATGCTCTCATGTACATCTTAGAACACTTTAATTCTACGTCAGACTTCAGGGTTTTTTTCTTAATCGTTACGTATATCTTGTTTAAGTATTTTGGAAATGTATGTGGTATGTTACAACCAACAAAATGTAATAACGCAAAATGTAATAAACTAGGATTATTACATTTTGCGTAATTACATTTTGCGTCGAGATCAACGCAGAATGTAATAATGCAAAATGTAAAAACAGACTTTTTAGGATTATTACATTTTGCGTAAAATGTAATAACATGATTTTGGATTATTACATTTTGTGTTGTTACATTTTGCGTCGAGATTAAGCAAAATGCGACAACGCAAAATGTAATAACACGCTTTTTGGTCAGTCAGATTGAGAATAATTTTCAACTGAGTGAAGGAAAATAAAACAAAAGGAAAAAAATATATGTTAATTCTTACATTATGTCTGATTTCATCATATATTGATTTATTAGTCATTTAAAATCAGTTGGTATTCAAATCATAAGTGCTGCAAATTAGAAACGTGTGTGCGCACATGTGTGTGGGTGGGTGGGGGGGGGGGGGTATTTTCCTTGATCAGTGTATCAGTTTGCTTTTTCTTTTTGATAGCCACATGCATGAAATTTAGAAAAGAAATCTATTTTTACTGGCATATGTAAATGTAGCGGGAAGGGGGTTTCTTGACAAGTAAGATTTCATACTGTTTTACAAATCATGTGCATTGCAGACCAGCAAAAATGATACAGACTGGTTTATAAATAGACATGCTAATCAAAGTGAAGTTAATGTTTTATAAGTATTCAAAAAAAATGCTAGAAACAGAGTTTAAAAAATATACAATAAGATTTAGTAATGTCCTTAGAAGCTGTAACGTTTGGCTCATAGTCATAGGTCTCTCTGTCTATTTAGTAAAGCGAGTTTCCCCATTGTTATATGTTTAAATCAATTTTGTGATGTTTCGCGTTGAACTCAATACAAAAAATAATTATATTTTGTTTTATTACATTTTGTTTTATTACATTTTGCATTGTGCTCAACCCAAAAATTAAGTAACGGAAAATGTAACAACCAGAAAGTGCATTATTACATTTTGCCTTAATCCCAACGCAAAATGTAATAATCCAAAAATCGTGTTATTACATTTTGTGTTATTACATTTTGCGTCGAGATCAATGCAAAATGTAATAACGCAAAATGTAATAACTCCAGTTTACAGGGTTCGACACTAACTTTTTTAGGCTTTAGTCCGGCCGTACTAGTGCTTCTTTACTTTTACTAGTCCGCATGCAATTTTATGAGTCCGTCAAAAAAAAGAAACATCAACGTTTTGTAACATTAATTTAAAAATAAACATTTCAATATATGTTTTTATACTTTATTAAATAAACAAAGCATTTACGTGAAATGGTTTATTCCACGTATAGCACAGATTCGTTAAAATCTCGCGATCAACGAGTACGATCGTATTCCCGATCTAGTTCTTTTTCTCTTTACATTACATCCAAAATGTCTGACATCTTTCTTTTATGTGTCATATTAATTATGATCGCTAAAACGTTTTACTTCAAACCAATCAGTCGAAAAAATTAAGCGCTGACTAGAAATTGTCTAACTCCCCGACAAAAAGCTAGAAAGCTAAAAATAAATGCGGGGTTTTCCAGTAAAAGTTGTGGAGAATCGGACATCGGTAAATTATTCATGTTGTTTTCCAGGAATTTTTACTGGTCCGTTCGGACTAATTAGCCACAGATTTTATTAGTCCGAATGAAAATGTATTAGTCTGAGACTATCGGACTAACGTTAGTGTCGAACCCTGAGTTTATTACATTTTGCGTTGTTATTACATTTCTTGTTGTAACAATGGTATTTATTTATTTTTCTTCATAGTCTGGCAGTTATTTACCTGAAAATGTATATTTATCAACTGATTTTTACAGTACAAGTACTAATTATACAATTTATGGACACTTATAAAAGCTTCGCTTTTTAATTTACAATCAATTGTAATGCTGCATAATATATTTCTTTAAAAGCTTGATATATGTATATTGTTGTAACTGAGGAGCTGGATGCAGTTGTTTATTGTATAATATGGATCATCTGTTAAATAATAATACTTTCCATGGTCATCTGAGTATCTTTAAAATTTTATTATCCCAGTTTTAATAATCATGCAATGATTATAGAGGGAATTTTCTTTACAGTATTACTATTTGACAGAACAGATTTTTTGTTTTTCTGTTGGAATAACTGAAAACTGCATACTAGGAAAATAACAAAAGGCTCTGCTTGGACTACAAAAGCTCAACTGACCATACTGTTATGATTTCAGAGATTTTTTTTATTCTTATGTCAAACGGTGGACCCATCCTTGCCCCAGGGGCAGTGAGTTGAATGTTACACTACTTCAAAATGCAAATATATTAATGCATCTTTTTGTGGCCTTGCTGTTTTTGAGATCACTTTATAAAAACTTTACTTTCAACTGTAGCCTTCCCCCTCCCTTCGAGCCTCATGGGTTCAACTTTGGATGAATACTATGTAAGGATGCTTGCTTGCATATCAATATAACTAATTCTGGCACTGCGGTTTTTTAAAAAGAATTTTTCAAGGTTTTTCCTGTATATACCTATGTAACACCCTCCCATTGTCACCTCAGTCTATACATAGGGACCCTGAACTTAAGAAACTTGAAAATATACACTTAACATTTATGAAATAAGCTCACCTGAACTGAAGGCTCAATTGAGGTTGTTTTTTATCAAAATTTGTCCGTTGTCTGTTGTTGTTGTCATAAACTTTTCATAATTTCATCTTCTTTTCCAAAACCACTGTGCCATTTTCAACCATACTTGGCACTGAGAATTTTTGGGTAAAGGGGAATGAGTTTGTTCAAATAAAGGGCCACATTCTCTTGCAAGGGGAGGTATTTGTGAAAATTCAATGGCATTTTTTAAAAACTCATCAATGGCATCTTTTAGAAACTCATCTCAAAAATCACTCAGCCAAAAAAGATGACTTTTATGTGAAAGTTTTGTTATCTAGTGTGGTCAAGTTTATTTAAATCATGACCCTCCCCCCCCCCCCCCCTCAGTGGGGGTGTTCGAGGGCACAGTGGGCCATCAAAGTTTTACATAGGAATATGTATAGGAAAAAAAATCTTTGAAAAATAACAAAGCCAGGACTAGTCATATTTACATGGATGCATCCAGATTCCAGCGTGTTCGATCATGAACCCCAGGGATAAGGTGTGGCACAATTTTTAGAGATGGCAAGTGGATTAATTTTTGTACCCAGTTAGTCATATATTCTTCAGACAATATAACCAAATAATCGAGCAAATACGACGTTTAATTTGTAATTTTCTTATGAATTTATTACGACATTCAAGTTACAATTTGTTGAAAAAAAATTAATACTTAACTATGATAATCAGACTCCAAAGTAAAACATGATATGAACATGAACGTTCATTTACAAATTATTGCAATCAAAGTCCAACCATATTTTCATCCACATGCTACCCACTCTCCACTATAGTTGTAAAAAATGATTTCATCAACCAATGGTCAAGATGGGCGACTTCGATTCGCAACTTATTCACTAAAAATGGCTCTGGAGCCGCACACAATGATGTAAAGATTCGCAGTGATTTGAAAAACGAGGACAGTAGCCGTATATAAAACAATGATGAGAAGAAAATTAGGAACAAAAAAAGGTAGAATCTTTATTTTTATAAGGCCTACAGCCACAGGGTACTTTGATAAGTATTCAGATTTATAATGGCTAGTAAATTATGGGGACTTGTTTTGACAGCGGAAGTGTCTTGTGAATTATTTAACTGGTATATTGCAGTATTTTGGATTTAAACACGCTGCATACGAGGTTTAATTTAAAAAAAAAATAAAAGGTACATTTACCGCAAAAATATCAACTAACCGTTAATGAAAATTGTAACCGTTTAGGACCTTTCCGACAGATTAGTCGGTTAACCTTTGCAATCCCGAAAAATTTTACTTAGGAATAATAGGAAAATTCTTCTCAAGAACAGCAAAGCCATTAGTTATATTTATATGGAAGCATCTTCAGGTAGTGTAGATTAATGTTTGTTCAAATCTTGACCCCCAGGAGCAGGGTGGGGACACAATAATTAAATTATACATAGGAATTATATAGAAAAAAAATCTTTAAAAATCTGAAGAAGAACAGCAAATCCATGATTAGTTATATTTACATATATGGAAGCATTTTCGGATAGATTGGCATTCTAGATACAAGTTTGTTCGATTTAGAATTATCTTCACATTTCATATAGTAAAAAAAAAGTATTATTCTAAGGATCCATTCAAATTACAGTTATACTTTTACTGAATATTACTACACTGTGCTAATTATCATTAAAAGACACAAAATTAAAGAAAATGTCTATTTTAAAAAAGCAAAACATACACACTTAATGCTAATCGTAGTAATACTAGTAAGCCAATAACAGAGGTGATGTTTGAGCTGATGGTAAAGAGAGGGGTACATGTATTTTGGAGCAAATGGATCATTTTTCTAGGAATTTGCTAACTACTTATCATATAAACCATGATGTCATGATTCTGTATCAATACAGACAAAAAAAAAAACCCGAAGGTTTACTATAAATATGAAAATATATAACACATTGAATCAATAGAAAAGAAAGACAAATGAAAACAAATAAGCTTGTTTTTGCATCATGACTTGTATTTCTGTTCTTTAACCTTGTATACGAACATTTACAGTAGTACATAATTTATTATATACAGGTATTAGTTACTTACAATGATTACACATCTGTAAATGTTTCAACTTTGTTGAAAACAGCTGAGATGTAAAAGTAAAATATGGTGCATTTATTTATGATTAACTAGTCATATTGATATTTTCAGAACAAGTATAGATTAATTTAGTAGATTAATGGTTGGTTTGTTCGTTTGTTTCATTTTATTTGTTTGTTTGTTTTTTGTAAAAATAATTTGTGCATAAATTGTATAAATCTTTATGTTAACAATTCATTAAAGATGATAGATAGAAATTATTGTTGTTTACCAATTTCCATTCCATCCTTTTATTTTTATAAAATCTTACAAGAATATTTTGACGCATGATTCTCTCTATAAGGTCTCCAAAGTTACTCACATAACCAGTTTTCCTCAGTTTCCAGAGAATGTGTATTTCCAAACTGTAATTAAAGTGCCTCTTACCAACTGGGCATATATTTAAAGCCTCGGAATATATTTTGTTTTCTAAAATGTGTTTAAAATGCTTTAAAACTTGTGTAATCATGGAAAAACCCCATCCACCTACCCCCACCCAAAAAATATATTTAGCCATTTTAGGAAATAAAATCTTCATTTCAAGTAAAACCCTTAAGAGTTTTTGATCACTGGACTATTGCTTACAAAAAACTGAATATGCTTCAAATTAAATAACGCTCTGTGATTAAAACACTGTCATTCATAGATGATGATATACTAAAAATACATTGATATATATCGTATTATGAATGATGTAAATTGTGCAGGTATAAATACATTTTACAAAAGGTTCCGTTATATGCCTAAATATGTTTTTTTTTCTGGGTAAAAGGAAACCCAATTTGAATCATCTTTTGGGAGAGATATAGTACAAAGTGATGTCATTCTCCATTCTGAAATCAGTTTCCGTGATCTTTTTCGCCTGAAGAATATACAACGCTATACTTTGTATCCTCAGTTGACCGCGTCGCTGAATTACCTATAACAGAGAAGCGACCGTACACTTGATTATCAGATTTTGGAAAAGAAAGATGAAAAGGAAGAAAAAGTAAATGTTTGTTACCTCTTTTTAATACAAAGACAATGATTATGATGATAACAGAGATGAGAATGACGGCTCCTCCGACCCCTAACCCCAGAGGTAAAGTCAGAGAGGTGCTGCAATAGGATAAAGCTGAATGTATTTAAACAATTAAATTCATTTTTATTTAGATAGACACAGCTTTCAATATGATGCACCAGAGACAAGATTGACTTTAATATTTTCCTCACTAGTGTTGCCATGAAAAAAAATGTTCTCATCAAGGACACGTATTAAAAATGTATGACTCATTTAAACGATATTCATTTAAGCAACAAACGCTGTCTATTTCATGATGATCCAAACGCTGATAATTTAAGAATTACGTGGTACAATCAATATTTAAGATCATATGTATGATTTCCATTGGCCGTAAATTTTAAACAACTTTAAAGTGTCAGTGCAGAAGTTAAAGTCTCTTTGTTTTAGTACTCTCTTTAATGTCAAACATAGATGTTGAGATCATTTTACTGTGGTAGAGAGCATGTAGAGAAAACACAATACAAAATTGAACAAAGAATTAAAAAAAACACAGATACTTGAGCAAGCCTAAAGTTATGCTAGCAAAAGTTTTCAAGATCTCATATAATCAAATATTACATTCAGTATCCACGGACACTTACTTATCTTCAAGTGGCTCTGGCCCTGTCGGACGAGAGTAGATAAGTGTAGACATTTTCTTGACGTCTTTTTCGTTTATTGGGCTAAAAAAATATTATTGTGGGTAAAAAACTCATCATACTTGTCGTAGATACCAGACAAAGTTCAGTATAAGGTAAAGAAAAAAACATGTTACAAAAATGTAATAAAAAAGAAATGAATTGAGCATAAAAATATGTACCACCTGTGACTCTAATGCTCATATGACAAATGACTATGTAAGTAAATGCAATACCTCTTTTTCATTAAATAATACCCGTATTATTGTCACCGAATACAGCTCTTCTAATTTTGAGAAGATTTTGAAATACTTTATCGTTTACCTAGATATTTGACACCCTATACTGAAACCACTTATTATAGTCAACTGGAGCACGATTTTTCAACACATATATCCTCAGAAAATGTGGATGCTCGCATATTAATTTGACTTGTGCTGAGAAGATTTAATTAGTTTTTTTTCTTCATTTTTTTTGCCCTATACCTTACTCAGGCATGTAATATCGGGGGGGGGGGGGTTACTTTTCTCCGAACATAACCTTGTACTGTTGAAAATGTTAATTGAAAGGCCGATGGCCCCCTCCCCCACTTTTTGTTGCAATATACAGTAGTCAAATCGGCCCCATAGAATGAGTTATAATAAAATTTGTTCATGGAAAAAAAATCGCAGCCATGGTGCTAAGAAGCCTTTTATTTTTTTTCTGCCCAATAATTATTGTGCGGATATTTTAAAATAACACATATTTTCATTATATTTTGATTATCATTCCTGGAAAACATTTCAACAAACTTTAATTCCTTTCACATAAGAATGTTTTGAGGCAATTGCGGTATGATTTTATTGGAGAAGAATTTGAAAACATTGGTGTAAAAATTTTCAGACTGCAAGTTGAACGCCAAATACGTCACACAGATCAACTCACTCTGATGAGCTTAAGGACGATCGATAGAAAGCGTTGTACAACTTATAAAAAGGGAGTCTCAAATCATTATCACAGATATACGATTACATGTACAACAGCTGTTTGAAAAGTTCGCAGACTTTTAAGGACATACGCAACGTACCTTACCTACTGATAATTTTTCAAGATATTCTTGATTTAAGATTATAGTGCCATCAGATGTTCGTAGACAAAAAATCAGCATGCATTACCAGGGGCTTTGAAAAGATATCAATTGATGAAATTTTTTGTATAATTCAAAGAAAAATATACAAAAATTACTTATTATATATTCTAGATGTTTTGTTTATCCAAACTTGTTTTAGAAGAAGTGTACAACAGCGTGTTTAGACAATAAAATGTAGCACACAGTTCCTTTAAGTATTGGAACTCTTCAACTCCAGGGACAAAGACAATAAAGTTCAAACTACGTTGCGTATGTCCTTAAATTCGAATGATTTGAATTTAAAAATTCAAATAAAGCATGGTATTTTTCAAAGTTATCCAAAATTTAAAACTATACGAAAATGGGATATATTAAGTACTTTACATACAAAACACTTGATAATGTCTTGATTATGTCTGAAGTCATATCTCTGTATAGTCATTTCTCTCTAAAATGGAATTATTACATCATTTCATATGCTAAATTATGATATATTTTGGTTTGTTGAAAAGAAACAAATTTCAAAAGATTAATAAAGTCTTCATTGAAAAATGCAAAAAAAGATGGCATCGTAAAACGTCACGGAGCAGCGATTAGCGGATTCAGTTTAGTGTTACACTCGGGAAAAGTTCAGAATAAACTCTGAAAATGCTAGAGGAAGCAGAAAATAAGTCAAAAGTAAGAAATGTGCTGATAGTGAATTTCTTGAATCTTTAACAAAGAGAACACTGTCCGGGAACTTTTCGAATAGCCTCGTACATAAAAGTAAAATGCGCAGAGGATTAGATCATTATACAATAAAAATATTAATTGTACATTTATATATATAGATGTAGGCTTACCTTTGTGTTGTTTGTGTCTTACTTATAGATGTAAAACAGTCCTGATCTGTAATGGAAAAATTACAAAGCCTGCTAGAAATTTTGGCATAATGTATTTCTTAACAATTTTGTTAAACCATAATTCCTTTAAAAGATTTCGAGAGAATTTATTAAATAATGACGTAAACTTTATGTGATAATTGATTACCTAAGGTAGATCGCGGGTTTACTGTGTGTATGAAAACATACGCTGAAAATTTATCAGCTAAATCCCGTCCTTTCAAATTTTTCTTTGTGAATTTTTTGGGAAATTCGTCTGCATGGTTATATTGTAATCGTATTTCAAATGCACCAATGTTGATGAGGACAGGTGACGCTATTTCAATGAAATATATAGTAAAATGCGTCTTTCACGCCGGTATACGCATTTCAAAACAATGCTCATAATACTAAAATGAAGCAGACGAATTTTATTTCACTCAACAAAATGAATGTGAAGTAAATTTAGAATCGATCTATCAAAAAAAAAAAAAAAAAAAAAAAAAAAAAAATATATATATATATATATATATATATATATATATATATATATATATATATATATATATATATATATATATATATATATATATATATATATATTTATATTATGTATATGTGTTCTAGCTCAATTTCTTGCAAAAAAACTTTAAAATTTTACAATTTTTTTAACAAAGGTGTTATATTTTTTATCACGACGTTATATTACGTTAGTGCAACGTCATTATTTTCGTTTGCCAGCGCGAAATGTGAATTAATCAACAACTCGCTCAAAATAAAGCATGTAATCCGTAAATTGATCGATGATTATGTCACATAAAAGTTGCCATAGTTTACCAACAGATTTCAATGAACATGCAGAAGAGAAGTCATATGATATTTTTTTCTCAATAAATCAAACGATGCTGGAAAAATGATATAGAACAACAATAATCTACATGTATATAAGAAATAAGCATCAAATTGGATTTGATTTCATTTGCAAACTATTTTAAATTATTGTTATCTATAATAAAATGTGCCAGATTATTCGCCTCCCTGCCTCCCATGAATTTTCGTCTGTGCAAGGTTTTGCAATTAAGTGGAGGGGATCTTCCGTCTTTTCTTCGTGTTGTGTTTTTGTTTTAAAAACATTGTTCTTCAGCCTGGCTATTCTTTTGTGTGGCACAAACTTTCCTTAATATTTCATTGCGAAAAGGTTTCGACGGGTTGTCGATTGTGACGCAATTTTCTTTTTAAAAATGACGTATTATTTTAAATTCCACCGAAATAAATTGAGTGACAATTATATATATGCAAAGAATGATGAATTATTGTTTTTTACTTTGAAAAACAGAATAAGTTTTAGCCTTCCATTTTCCAGCGTAAAAAACACTTTTAATTTAATGATTGATCCATCCTTAATTTTTAATTACCTATAAATAAATATTTTTGCAGACCACACAAGCCTTAATGTATGTTTTATTTTTTACTGCATACTGCTGAAGATAATTTTTGCTTGTTGTTACTGTAAACGAGGAAAGGTTTCTTCGTCGAATCCTATTGTGACGTCAGCAAACCCACGATCTACCTTAAGCTTAACTTTTAGTTTCTAAAAATAATCAGAACTGTGCCGTTTGACCAAAAAATATATCTCTGCAGCGTACATCAATGGGACCGCCATGTACATGTAATTAATGGGACCGCCCTCTATAGCGGCTCGCGCAATATATAATGGTAATATATTCTCACATTTGTAAACGTCCGTTGATCTGTAATATACAGGACATGGAGGTGAAAATTGTTTACAATCCGAATCCTCTTTATAGTTATTCTGTATCCGTGATCCAAGCAAATTGAATTCTGGACAAAAACCACCTAAGTTAAAAAAAAAAAACGCTACTATTAAATATTCTGTAGAATTTTCATACGTAAAATATATTTTTCAACATTCCTTGTGTAATTTGATTGCTTTGGGGTCTTCTGATTTTAACCATGCATTTTATGCAAAATTAATATAAAATTGTTAAATATTGATTGTGAGAATTCCAAATAAACCCTCTCTTTGCTTCTATCTTTCGATTGAATGGAACTATTGCACCCCCCCCCCCCCACAGGCAATTGATGACGGGATGCAGAAATTATTTTTATAACCAACATATACCCAGAGGTTCTGCAGTTCTTTATTAGAACCTTGCTTTGCAATTGCTTTATAGTGATTATAGTCTGTCCGTCCGTCCAAAACATGTTTGTGTAATTATAAAATCCTTGTCATTAGCATTTTCTCACCTACATGTAGACCCCTTTCTCAGTTTCTGGTTCATACTTCGATCACCATAGAGTGCCCATAGGTTTAGGACCTTGCAGCGACCTTTAACCAAAATACCTCACCCAACGAGTGTCCATGGTAAAGATGTAATCCAGATCGAGGTCAGGGTAAAACTCAAAAATACAAGTCCCTCTCCTGTTTATGTATGTGTGCAAAACCGTGAAAACGAGAACATATTGTGTGTGTGTGTGTGTGTGTGTGTGTGCGTGCGATTATTTTTGGGTGGAGTGGCAACAAGTGTCATACCTATTAAATTGCGTGGTGGAGCGCAGACTTCTATGTAGGAATCTCTCGATGGATTCATTAGGCAGTGATACTGGAAGTTACTAGGTGAGGTGCATGTTTGATTGACAAGATGACACGCTTTATCTGCAGCTCTGACTGTCCATTCTTTGTTGTTGACTGGACATTTATCCACGAATTTCACGGTATCCACAGAATCATTACAGCCTTGTGTTATAGGATACAATATAAACTAAAACACACATATATAAAGATTTATTGTTAGAAAATATACATGATATAAGGTATAATGAATTTGTAGACGTGTGTCAAACTGTGTCATTTCTAGTAATAAATACGCATTATACATCCCGCTTGAAAAACTGTTAGAGGTCATAGCAATATTAGGCAGTAGCACGTCAAGCAGTAACAGAGCAAATGAAAACCGGAGGTCTATAGCAGTGGAATCTATCACACTTCTACAGAATTTTTTCTGTATTAATTAAAGTTGTATCACAATATATGTAGGCACGATTAAATGCAAGTTTTGATTAAAATAATAAATTTAAAAAGAAAAGAAAGGGTATTCAAATACATGTAAAATGAAAATGAGGTAACAATTAATTTTGATATTCCTGTTTTTGAAATCAAGATCAAGAATAGACGGATTAAGAATTTATCAGGTTTACATGATATGAACTGCCAAACTCTGGGACTCTCGTCAATTTTTTTCTTTTAGATATTATTTTGATCAATTAAAATGACTTTAGTTACATACTGTATAAATTATGCACAGCAGAACAACTTCCATGTCAAGGAATTCTAATAAGACAAATGTGATTTTCAGTCATCCCACCTTCTTTTTTACAAATAGTTCCTGCTAAATGTAAACATGCTCTTGATGATAAGAAATTTGAAATAGCTCACTTATAAGACAAACTTTGCACATGTAAGTAATTTTTTTTCACGAAATTGAAGTAAAAAATATTGATATATAGGAGTAAAAAGTGTCAACTGGCAACGTTTAACTTGCTGCCATTTGCTTAACTAATTCCAGTTTCACTGCAATATTAATCTTCTTTTCATCAGTTATGGTTCATTTCAAATCCTTAAAGAAATACCAGAAAGAATGTAGTGATCTTTGTCAAAAATGAGATTTTCTTTTTTATTTAGTTCTAGCCATTATTAAGTGTTTGTCTTATTTGCTAGCAGTTCATCATGCCTACTGAATTACACCGGTAGTGTGTAGGTTTACCTACCTAAATCTTGTACAAATCGATAACTTATCTATCGAGAAATTCGATTAAAATATCCATTGTCTCCACTTATTAGGTATCCTTTGTGAGCTTTTAATTTTATTTTTAAGCAAAAGTAACAGTTAAAGCCAATGTAGTAGCAAACTATAAAATGAATATAATATAAACAAAAAGAATATTTAATTATCAAAAATATTTAAAAAATGTAAAATGCAAATTAGTTATAGCAAAGTTATAGCCAAAGAAGTTTGACTGTACGAAAACATTTTTATAATCCAGTTTTGGAAAAAGAGAAAGCATTTTTTAAAAACAAAATTTTACTTTGAGGGAAATGAAGATGCATACAGTATATATGATGTAATCTGATATCAACTATTTAATTACTTTTCAGATCTCTCATTGCTTTATTTGATAAATTCAAACTTTTGTGTGTTTCCGGTAGGTTAAATGTCCAATGGTTTAACGAAAGAAAGATTTATTCAACTTAAGAGCAGGGATTGCCAAGGAGAGGATATGTATAGGCTTTGCCTGTTTCCCGATCCTTACTGATTTATTCTAAAAAAATAAGTTTAAATTAAACTAAATTTGAATTATTGTATTAAACCACAGAATAAAAAAATTACTGACTACTATTTTATTTTACTGAATGGGCCACGACCGCTTAAATGAGGGAGCCGAGGCATCAATATACTGCCTTGTAATGGCATCCCTTACAATGCAAGTGAACCCTGGGCACAGATATGGATCCACTATTTGACTAGTCCATACTTAAAAATGTTTGCTGTTAAAATGTTGGAAAAGATTTCAATGAGACTACTGGTAAGCTCAATATCAACATGCCTGGGGTCCGTTTCTCAAAAATGCCTACGACCAGGCGTAAGCTAAATCCGGACTAAATCAGTGACTAAACCCGAAAATCGAACTAAGTTGCGTTTCGCAAAAAGGCGGAGACTTAGTCGAGACTAAACTTTAGCTTAAATCTACGCCTCTTTATGAGTAGGCGTAAGTTCTTAGTCTGTACACAACTTGAAAAAAGTGGCAAGTGTTTTGATCATAAAGAGTTTAAAGAATAATTATTTTTTACGCGCACGATATAAACACCTATTCATATTCATATATGATATGTGAAAAATCGTGAAATATACAATTACTATGTAGGTAAATAGAAAGGTAGTAAAAAACCAGCGAGGATGCAGACTTTTTTTCCGTAAAAGGTGGGATGAACTAGAAATTTGTAACTATGAATTTTTAATTGTGAAACTAGGTAAGAAATTAAGAAGTGCCAGAGTTTTTTTTTTTTTAAAAAAAAAAAAAAGGAGGCACACGTAGTCTGGGGGAGGGGCTGCAACCCTACCGCTTTTTGTAGTAATAGTGTTTTCTGTTAAAAATTAAGTTGTAATTTAGGTTGTCCTACACTTTCAGTATTTCTTTTCTTGAACTGTTAAAGTTTGCTGATATTTTGGTTACTCAATTACCTAACCCCACCCCCCCCTTTCCCCATCCCCCGCACACTTTTTAAAAACGCTGCTGGGTCCTTGATATTTTTTTTGTTTTGAAATCGATAATGTTTTAATAAAACTCCTCAAACAATATGCATTCAATATATTTTCGATAATGAAAAATATTCGATAATTATGCCATCAACTTATTAAGGTAATGCACCTTTTACCTTAATTTCCCCTTTAATTAAATGTCGATTACTAATTATTGAATTAGAAATTCATATAATGAGTACACGACAATAGTGTACTCATTATATGAATTTCTAATTCAATAATTACTAATCGACATAAATATAAATATCATAAAAAGAAAAAAAGTAAAATGTTACAGTAATTAAAATATCCTTTGTATAATACTGTTTTTTTCCTATTTCAAAGGAGTAACTGTCATGGCGTAAGATGGGTCTAAAAAATTTTTTAAATAGGTACTTGTTTTTAATTCATATACAATCTATCGTAGTTTTCTCAGACGAATTTTGTTTGAATATGCTTTTTTGATCGACTTATGAACAGATAAACACTTTATATTACATTTGAAAAGAAAGTGGTCGATAAAGTGTAAAAAATGTTTTTGTTGTAAATGAGAAACAGAGTTTAGAATTTGCTGTCATTTAATGCATTATACTCATAAAAAATATCAAGAAGAAGAAATTTTGCTTATTTAAAAATATTTATGAATATGAAAATCATATGACTTGTTAATATCTTTAAATCTAAATAAAATCTTCAAGAAACATTTGCATCCATAAAAGAAATATTATTTGATCATATTCTTAATAAAAAATTAAACGGAATTGCTACATTTAAGGAAAAGATGATGGTGTTGAAAGTTGTACTTTGTCCGATCTAAATAAATCTGATCCCGACTGGAAATACCTGTATATCAAATGAAAATATTTCAGAAATTTATAAAAATACTAGATTGCTTGCCTGTCATATGGCTTACAAGAAATTGTTTTAAAACTAATTCAGCTTTAAACCTTTAATAAGAATGCATGTGCTAATGGATATGCTGTATATGCGTATTTCTGCATGGACTGTGTAAATTATCATATCGATATCAATGTAATACTGTATGTCCAAAATGTAATATTATATAATACGTGTATCAGTTGAATGCCAATAAGTCTAGCCAATAAGTCTAATTCAGTTAGAATTGATTATTCTGTTATGAAATTATCAATTCAATACAACTGATAATTTTTCAAAACTCTTATCCATATTATAATAATACTAGTGTATGACTTCATAATTGTTAAATTTTCCACAGGCCCGTAGAACGCGGTGAGGCCCGGGGGCCCCGGCCCTCCACTTTTTCTGTTATAGTAAATTTTCCTTCAGATGCCCCTCTCCCCCACACACTTTTTGTCGCTGTAAGGTCGAGCACTGTCAAATTCTATGACTTCAGTCTTGGACAGTTATAATATTAAGGTTTTTGACTTGGACAATTTATGAAGTTTTTTTGGTCAGATTAATTTGTTAAGTTGCTCCCTAGTTTTTGGTAGTTCAGGTTTTTTTTGTTTTTTTTTTTGTTTTTTTTGTATTTGTTTTTGGCTTGTCAGATTTTTTTTGGGAAGTTGCCCCCTCCACCTTTTAAACTGTTGCTACGAGCCTGTTCCAGCCCTTTGCCACTACCTTATGTGTATTTGCTTTAATGTATTTAACATAAGTGAAAAACAATATGACATATTCAAAGAAAAACTACTTAAAATACCCCATGCTTAATTTATTCGAATTGTTCACAAGTACTTATCATGCTTAAACTATGTACATCGTTTGGGTTTTAATGTACGATTGTATATCAAAATAACACAATCGTGTACACGTTTATGATTTTCTAATGTAATTTGTACCTACATGTGTATATAGATTTTTTTATTTGAGCATAGAAAAATAGTTATTTAATTTTAATGCTTTGACCTTGAAAATACAGGTGGGTTTGCGTAATATATCTGTTTGAAAGATGGTGAGGAGAGAAAACATGCACGCGCGCTCATGCTTTCCGTGCTTTACTTCTGTATTTAGGTTTAAGTTTGATATTTTAAAATTTGATCCGCCACATGTAAGTGTAGTCTCTAAACCAAATAAAATATGATCTGCGCATGCTTAGTGCTTAGCGGAGATGTCTTAGTCTTAGGCCCAGTCTTACGCCGCTTTCTGAAACGGATTTAGGCCCGTCTAAATTTTGGCGTAACATACTTAGTCGGACTAACTTAGGCCCAAATCTACGACTTTTGAGAAACGACTGCTGGCATGTACGGTTGGCTGGTATAAACCAAGCGGCCTTGACGAGGGGTTCTTTGATAATGATGCAGCTGAGGCTCGAAAAACAATCTGAAATGATAAAAATAAATACTCGACAAGAAAAAAAGACAAAGAGAGACAAAAACTCAGAAAGAATCTTCAGAGAAACCAAACAAATGTGAACTATATAAAACCAATATATTGAACTTAAACACTCAATTCTAAAACAAAATTCTAGTCGACCACTGTTTCATGGGGATGGGAGGAGAAGGGTGGGTAACAGTTTCAGCACAAACTGATGACGTCAGAGTTCTGTGTTAGGTGCTACAAATATCCCCAAGTATGACTGGAACCGATAAATACCGTAAAATACGCCAAGTGAAATAGATGCATTATCGACCAGACCAGAGCACAAATAATTATTTCACTTTGATAAATAGATTAAATCTTAAAGCTGAACACGACTCGTAAATAGGCATACGCCATTTTCGATATTATATCTACGATACATCAACACCAGGGTATACTCTTCGCATTCGTTACACCTGACTGCTTTATTGTCACGGGTATCGGCGTGGAATGGCGACCCGTGTTCGTGCTGGTTATCTTGCAATACCTTTGTTTACATTTTATTGTAGTTACGTGTATCTGTGTTTGTTTGTATAATGCACTAACCTGTACAACTGTAATTGTAAGTTTCTTTTGTATCTACTTTCCTGCATTAGACGAGGTATTACAGTTATTTTTGAGTGCTGTGTAGCATACGTCCGTCTACACCGGTGTCGACTGATCATACTAAACAGTGTCCAAGTCAGGCCCTTTATATAGGGGTCCTCAGATATAGCGAGAATCCGAACAAAAATGGCGGACACATTGCTTTTACGAATCATGTTCAGCTTTAATTAAGCAAGCATATTAAGTGGTTAAATCCCAGTAACATGTTACAGAAAGAACGAGGGAGCTTTTGATTGGCATTCGACAGGAATCTGGGCGCACTTGAAAAGTGAAAAATTCATTGATCTGTCACATGAAAGAGCGTGTTGCAGAAACTCGTGATTATTCCCTATATCGAGAAGGACATTTAAATACCCACGACGCATGAAGAGTTATGTCTAAATATAGATAATGATACGTAGATGACTTTATTTATACGACGGGTATGTCCAGCTTGTTATAAAAAACATTTAACATTTTACGTTTATTTCATGCATAGTTTTTTTTCCTTACATAGACTGTCGACTTGTTAGTAAACGTTTTTTTCACATCTATGGTCACTGTCGCCATATTGCACGAGAAAAGTTAGAACGATAAAAAGCACAATTAATGGCAAGTGCACCTCGCACATTATTTTGAAAGATGTACTGTAGACAGCGTGCGTTAATATTTTTCAATATATAAAAATGTGTCCACTAATCACGCTGTTGATGCAATATCCAAGGAATTCCATTGAGTCATTTCAATTTAGTTGTTTCAAGTCAAATCTGAGCCACTAATTAACAGAACAATTATGAAACGAAATGTGTATGAAAAAACTAAATTATTTAAAATGATTATAGTACTTAATTTTTTAAGACATCACCACTAAATAATAACATATTAAATATATGTCTTATTATTTTTAGATCATAATATCAAGGAAAACAATTTAATTCTGCATGCATTTAAAATATTATCCATTAATTTTCTGACATTCTCTCCCTCTCTCTTTCTCTGTCAATAGAGATGTTACATTGTACTTCCATGATATAAGAAAAAAATGTATGTAATGGATATATGCCGAATACTGTTCTATACGTTAGGGCCGAAAACAGTCTGATAATTTTACATATAGAATTGTATGAGGCATATATCTTACTTAAAACATTGCTATTTAAATGTCCAAAAGTTACCTGGAGGAGTCCGATAATTACACAATAGGAGTTCAGGCATCAATAGTTTCCTACCTGAAACCATCTAATAAGTAGACAAAAGAAAAGAGAAAGTTTTTTTTTTAAGACAGTAAAATCAGTGAGTGAACTCTTTTGTTTCATTCATTCAATGGCAGTCGTTTACACTTAATTTAATGGCAAATTTGAAATCGATATGCAGTTTCTAAATATTGTTCTACTTTGTGCTGTATATACCGTTGTATCTGAAAAAATTTAAGACCGTTTTCTGTTACTTAATTTTTTTCTTTTAAACTGCTACAACTTTAGGGAAAATAACAAAAGAACTGCAACACCCTCTTTTAGCATTCTTTTGATGTATCGGATTCCTGTGAAATAGGAAAGGGAAATATCTTCCCGATATGGTATTTTAATTTGCTAAAAAAGAGATGGAAAATTGACTAGATGAATCATTTGGTACAAAATGTTACATTTTCAATCACGTTTTTCTAAAAAATTGCTACCTCTGGGTCATCTCTCCATGATTTTGAAACGTTATTTGTGTGTATTTTAATTCAAAGAAACTAACAAACATTTGTAAAAAATGGAGAGAAGACCCAGAGACAACAAAAATAAACTTCTTCTAAAAAAATTCCAATGTGTAAATGCGGTGCTTCGTCGCTTTAAAACCATAAAGTGTGTAGCTCAGTAGTATGCGTCACTCGTCCAGAACAATGAGAAAGAAATATTTTTTGGTTCCATCCTCGCATGGAGCGTTAATATTTTTTTTTTTGTACAATCAATTTTTTTTTGCAAGTTTAATTTTATGTACAGATCTATTTTCAAATAGATCAATTCTGGTTCTGCTGCACCGAAAGTGAAAGCAATTCTTCCAACCTACTGATACTTTAATATATATTTACATGTAATTGCATTTAACCATATCCTATAGGTGTTTGTTATTTATGTGAAGCGTTACTAAGTTTTACATGTAGTAATTATTAAGATAAGCGGACTGATATATGAAATTTGACAAAGTATTTCAAACTAAATGTTACATTTTCCCATGTGCGTGACTTTGTAAAGTATGTCCTGCTGTGGTCAGCCGACCAAATCGTAGACATTTATACTATAAATGTTTCGTACGCCTTATTCCTGCAGATCACATGCCAATCACGCCCATCTTCTTTAAAAGTCAAAAACATACATGTAACATGTAAAGTTATTTTTTAGCAATAATTTGTTACCTTATAATCTCTGGCACAAACCTTTCATCCTCAAGGACAGTGTCTTTTGCGTGTAGCTACAAAACATAATGCACACTCATACAGTCTGTTTACTAGTATTGCGCATAACCCACGAAGAACAAAATCTTTGTGCCTTCATTTTTTAAAAAAAGAAAGTCCTCATTGTTTTTAGTTACACGGCTTAATTGCACATAAAGCAAAATGAAAACTAGATGTCATAAGATAGTAAAAGCCGCACATAAGTGCACTTTCCTTCGTTCCAAGGGTAATTAGCAAAATCTATAATTTACACACATGTTACAAATTGAGGATAAAATGCTCACGTGAACATGATGCCGATAGACCAATTGAATTATTATCGTATTTTAAATGACAAATTTATCACTTATCTGAAATCAGAGAAGTTGATGAAGCATTAATTCAGTTAAAATTTAAGTTTTTGTAAGGAAAAAAAATGAGTTTTGAATTTTTGGCTTTCAATAGGCCCTCGGAATGAAAATAAAAATCCCAAAGTGAAAAAAAAATCCGAAACCTTATTGCATTTCTACAGGACACCACTAATCAAATTATAAAAGATGACTTGACTACTGGATAAAAGTAGAATAGCTCTGGGAACATACATGTATTTATGGTAAAAAATCGGTTTTTTGGTCCTTAAATGGCTTTCTGTAAGAAAGCAAAAATTATAAGAGAAATTCTTAAAATCGTAATTTTGAAGAAAAAAGCATCGTTTTTGTCTTCTCTCCCAATTAACTTCTAAGGTGAAACTATTTGCATATCTACAGGTTATCATCAGTCATATTACAAAAGATTATTTATCTACTGTTTTATCCGTAAGGAGTTCTATAAAAACGGTTTTCGGCACCCGATTGGTTGATATATTAGGATGTAAATGAAAATTCAAAACAATAATTGGACACCTAAGGACACCACCAATCGCATTCCAAAAGATGTATTGGCTACTGTTTAAATGTAGGACGGGTTTGAAGAAGACCAACAATGATAATATTATATGTCCGAACTTCTTTAGAAAATGGTGGTATATTGGATGAGTATTATAACACAATCATTATGCTTCCTCAAACCCAGGTCAGTTTGTGCGTGAAAACTTTACATTGTGTACATCCCATGAAAAATACTTCAACCTTGAAGGTAGGCCTAATCTTGTGTAATCGAAACTTAAAACATCGTGGTAGGGCGTCGAAATATTTCTAAAAGATCTGCCTTTCAAATCATTCTAGCTAAAATATCAAACTTTTTTAAAATTATGTAAATGGGGCATGGGCACAGATTTGAAGTTCACATTTCCTAAAATTTGCGGTATAATATAATGACGTACATGTTGCTGGAACAGACCGATATATTATGAAAATGTGTTTAGAAATTTTTTTCGTTTGAAAATTATGAAAACTACGAATTCCGGGACGCTTTTGATTGACACGTATCCTTGCACTTTCAAGAGGTAAAATTGATGTTTAATATATAAGAAAAGTGGAAAATCTGTAGTGTATAATTGTAAAATATTAAACCTAAAATTCAGAGTAGAAATGTGAGAAAGCGAAACCAACACACTGGTCAGCATTGTCAGATCGTGTTCAGAGATGGTTGTAGAGTTATCAAATTGAACACACCTGTGTTATAACACACTCTGAAAAATAATTTCAAAGTGCGTTAAATTTGGGACCAAGTTAACGCACTTTGAAAAAATAAAATTTCTTTTTCAAAGTGCGTTAATATCGACCATATAAATAAACGCACTTTGAAAAAAAAAATAATGCGTATGGCTTAGTCAATTTTCTTGCAAAATTTTAGGTATGATAGATAACCTAGTTGGATAACTTTTCGGTGATGAAGCCACTTCAGGATCTGAGATATAGACGTTTTAAACATTTTAGGTTCTCGTAAATGTTATAAAAGGGAAATGGGTCTCTTAGAAATAATGGAGAAATAATCATGAAAATGATCATGATTGTT